TTGGGTAAATTTCGGTAGTATATTTAGAGAACTCTGGATTATTTAACGAAAAAATATATTCAATATAACGGTAGGTATTGTTGAATGTATCAACCAAATGTAACAATGACGTGTCTTTACTGAGTTTGGTCATAAACTGAGATTCATAGCAATACAGGAATAAATCTGCTATTAAAGGGCGCAGTTAGTGCCCATAGGAATACCTACTACCTGTCGATACATTTTATCGCCGAAACGTACATATATTTTGTCCAGGAGAAAATTTAAAGCTTCAATCATATCTTCACATTTCCAGTAAGTGTATCTAGCATACTTTCCTTTTTCGTTACAGAAAAGGCTTTAAACGAGTTACAGCAAATAAATTTGCAATGAGATTTTTCAAAAGATCATTTAATTAAATATGAAAACTTTTTCTTGATAAGATTGTGTGGAAGTGTAGTGTAGAGAGTAGAAAAATCATAACTGTCAACAGAATTAAAATGACCATCAAAAGCACGTATTTTATCTTAAACCTTTAATGAATTTTTAACACTCCAAAAATAATTAATACCATTATTTTCATAAGCTTTATTACAAAATTTAATAACAAGTTCTTTGATAGTAGTACTAGTAAGGGATGTAGTTAGAAGCACTGACAGATTAGTAGTAGAACACTTACTAGATGCGGAGATGAAACGGAATTTAAATGGTTGCTTGTGTAATTTAGGTAACCAGTACATAGTTGGGACTTTCAAATGTTCGGAAGAGGCTTTAGGCTGGGTAGTGGCAGTGATATGCTTGTTTACAATTTGACTCTCTACCTGAATGTAGACGAATTGATAATTTCGTTTTGGAGAACTTCCGTGTAGTATATGCGTCACACCACCACTACATTACTGGTTGCTTTCTCGGCCGGTACGAACACAAACCGCTTTGCGAGTACTTGGAGTTTATTTTTATTCTAGAAATGGGTATATCATGGACCCTATTATTAATTTCAGAATTGTTTTCAAATGAGATATACGAATATCAACAGTATTCATAATTTTATTCAAATAATCGTCAAGAGATTTTTTATCAGATTTTTCACGTTAACACAAACAGACAAATAAGCGTCTTTAATGACCTGACGACACTGTTTCCAATCTATTATAGATGGAGAACGATATTTAGGTCCTTTCTTAAGAAAGTTTTGACCTCACGGTCTTCGACGATGTTGAGGTCTCCTGTAATGACATGACCATAGGGAACATATCTAAAACTAGATGTTTCACAGTCTCAAGTGGAAGGAGCATTATTTTCTATATTAACGTCTGCTGTAACTGACGTATAGTTAAAAATGTTCATTTTTTCTGTTAACAGTTTATGTCAAGCTATTAAAGTTTTCGAGAGTGTATATGAAAACTCTATAAATAAATTTAAATCTTCGATTCAGGGCAATAACCCTTATATAATATAGTGTTATTAACTGGTTGTTTCTGTATTGGCCCTGTTATAGATTCGAGGTTAGCTGTATTGGACCCGAGACTCGAAGAGTCGAGGTCCAATACAGCTGATCGAGAATCTATAACAGGGCCAATACAGAAACAGCCAGTTCATAACACTTTTATTAAATGATTTTAATTCTTTTAATTAGAATAAACTAAGAAACTTTCCGTGAAGAAGATGCAGAATTTCATATCTAACTTGTCTTTTCGCATTCACGTCCATGGATTTTTTGTCAACATTGTCAGATGTAATTTCTGTACTTAATATTATGCTATTACAATTCATTTTATCTAGCAAATATAAAGAAGCTGGGAAGAATGAATCAGAAAGTTTAACTATTCTTACTCTTGGATCGTCTGCGTTCTGATGCTTTTTTTTCAGTATTGGCCCTGTTTTTTTCCGTATTAGCCCTGTCCGAAAAGCAATATTAACTCTTGATTTATATCGACAGGGCAACGTCATCAGTATTTCACATGCTGATTTATCCGCATTAGGGCTGATTTGCTCATATCATTTAATAGTAGAAGTCGTCTGATAGTTTCGATCATATCGGCATTTTTGTAGATCTTGTATTACTGATCATTTGTGCAGGTCATAGTTTTGATCATTTGTGCAGGTCATAGTTTTTTGTCCATCTATTATGGTATATTTTAAGATAATAGGCAAATACACGAAATTAAGTCAAAAATCGTCACTATAGGACAATAACTCGGTTAATGTCATATTAACATTTTGTAGATCTTGTATAGCTGATCATTTTTACTGTTCACAGTGTGTGCCTATCTATTATATTTTCGATATATTTGGCAAAATCACGAAAATTGTCAAAAACTTCCTTTAACGGCATTCGAATATCTATAAGGAATCCTCTTAATGTCGTGATCATTTGACATATTTGTAGGTTTTATATTGCTGATCATCTTTGCTTGAACGATTTCTACCTACATGTATATCATACTTTTTTTTTCATTCAAGTACAGGCAATTTTTTTTAGCAGAAAATGTCTAATGGATTTGGCCATTTCTGATTTTTTATACATCTTGTATTGGTGTTAATTTTCTATGTTTACAGCTTCTATCTTTCTATTTAGTTTTCGAGATAATAGATCAAACACGAAAATTAGCATAAAAACTTCGTTTAATGGCAATAGCTCCTATAATGAGTCATCAAATAATTTTGGTGAAAATGGGAAATAGGTAGATCTTTATTTTTGTGAGCATTTTGGCATCGTCAATTTTCTATATTCATCACTGGTTTTTTTTCCAAGAAATAAGCCCATTAATCCATTTTACCCTAATGTTGTTTTTTTTTAATTTTAGCTATGGAATTCATATCGATTGATTGTAGGATAAACACACAAATGTATACGATATACCCTAAGGACCATTCAGTTAAAATTTGGCTGTAATTGGTGCAGTGGTTTCAGAGAAGATTACAAAAGCTTACCACGAACGATGACGGCGGATGCCAAGTGATGGCAATAGCTGGCACGGCTCATAGGGTAAGGTGGGATAAACATAATATTCAATAACCAAAAATTCATACAAATCTGCATTAAATAGATGACGAAGATGGATTAGATGCACTAGTCTAGTGGCGATTATTACATGCATATAGAACATGTTAATGTGATATGAGTCTAAACTCTGTTTCGTACTAGTCTGACAAGCTAAGCAGGGTTCAAACGTGCATGTTTACAAGGTGACAATCCTTAGGAAGACATGTCGTCCAACAAAGTAACATTATTCCGACTCCGAGCAGACCAATATTTGCTCTTACTCTGACTCATAGTAGAGAATAAAGAAAGACGTAGACACCCGAATTTAGAAATGTAACTTATGTAAAGAAACAGTAGAAGATTAAATGCATTTTTATTAGACTGTCCTGTTCTTGAAAATTTATCAATGGTCTGAATTATAAATATTATAGTTATTAAGCTTTCTTCAGAGAATTTTGTTTATGGTTAATACCCTTGTGAAGATATTTCTATTAAAAAAACTTGTATTAAATATGATATCAGAACTAAGAGAAAATCGTGATTTATTACTAAATCAAACCCAAATCTGAACTATGAGGATGATTGAGTGGTTTCTCTTTGTCCAAATCTAGCTAGATGTACTGCAACCCTACTGTAAGCAGTTTCTCGGTTACTCGGTTTCGTCGTGTTGCGTCGTTTTCAAGAAAATAGATGTTATATAGAGTAATTTGGAATCGAGAATGATCTGTACGGAAGATTGGTTTATTATTAGGATTGATGGAAGTTATTCTGTTGCTTTTCCCCTCACACTTATCTTATGCCTTTCATAGGTTTACAAAGAACATTAGCTCATTTTTACAACTCCGCGTCCTATCATATTGCTTATCCCCTAGCGCTAATATTATGCCTTTGCATTTACTAGCCATTACTTGATGGTCGTAATGGGTACCTTCTTGATAAATAACGGTAAAAAATCTTGCCAAATGACGTTAACGGTAATTTTTGGTGCATGACGATAAAATGTACATGTTTTTAATTTATGACGATAAAAAAATCGGCTGATTTTGACGAATCACGTTAAGTTCTTTCCAAAATAACGGTAACAGATAATTATTTGAGACCTCTGACGAATCACGATAAGGATATTTTGACGAATTTTTATACATTTACTTAAAATTTCGGTTTCTTGGATATGTCTATCATTTTTTTTGTTTTTTTTTTTAAAGATTTGGAATATCTACTTTTCTAAAGTATGCTCTTAATTTCTATAACAATTCTTTGGAAATAATTCATTTATATCAAATGTTCATGATTTTAGAAAAAACGGCATTTTTTGCTGTATATCTATCGAATTTAAAAAATATTCATCGGTGATTTCTTCATAAAAATGGAACAAATAATCTTCATACAGTGTCAAGTCGAATTTCATTTTAAAAAAGAAGGGTCCATGTACTCGTTTTCAAGCTAATGATTAAAATCACTCGAAAAATGCATCTTTTCCCGATATGTCTCCGTTTGACGTCGCGAAAAATAACATTTTACGTTAGCAACGTCATAGCATACGATACAGTTACAGCAACTGAAGATTATTTGTTCCAATTTTTATGAAGAAGTCACTGAAGTATCTTTTTTTAAATTAGATAAATATACAGCAAAAAATGCCGTTTTTCTAAAATCAAGAAAATCTAATATAAATGAATTATTTACAAAGAATTGTTACACAAGTTAAGATCCTACTTTTGTAACGAAGATATTCCAAATCTTTTTACAAAAATCCTCATGTATTTATCTTTTGAAATACAAAAGTTAAGTATGTCTGTTCAAAGGATAGAAATGTCCAAAAACCGAAATTTTAAGTAAATATCCAAAATTTCGACCCCATTTTCTCTAAATTTAGCACATGAAGGTATATTTTTTATTACATATTTAAATTGATTAGGTAAAAAATAGTTTGTAAGCAAATTTTCGTAAACAAATCACCGTGGAATCAAAACTGTATCGGTACCCTTAAACAGTTTATAGGTTTGGAATACATTGAAATTGAATACAAATCAAATCAAATCAAATAATTTTATTGGTGTAAATTCCAATACAGGAATGATACCAGCTGGCACTTACAAAATACAAAGACAAAATAAACAAAGACAAATATATTTATATATATACAGAGACATATTTTCGCAATGATAAGAGACACATATGTTATATCTTCATTGCGTAGAGGTGTTATTCGTACTATGTTTTCAAGCTATAACAATAAGCTTTAATACTACAACAGTTCTTAACAACATTATGTTTGCTTTAAATCATGTGAATGTATCATAAATATCGCTTATTCCAGCTACACATACAGTACACATGTCAGTACCATTACTTTTCAAAATGAAACTAAATTTATCTCGTTCAGACATATGGAACTATATCACTTAAATTACAAAAGAGTATATTTCTATTAAATTCTAACGCTTTACATTTAATGAGGAAATGGAGTTCATCTTCAATTTTGTTCAATTCCATCCTTGCAAAGTGGACAAATTCTATGTTCTAAAGGCGTTCTAGTATATCTACTAACTTCTAATAGTAATTTTCTATTACTAATTCTAATGTTTACCATTTTAGAAATAACACAATAACCATGACTAGCTTTAATAGAGTCACAAAAAAGAGCTTGTTTCCTGGATTTTAAAGTAATTTTGTCTTTGGCATGGTATTTTTTATCCCCCCCCCCCCCCCAAGTTTACCCAATAACACTTTTATTTAACTACAAAAACTATTAGACAGGTTAAAATTTTCACTGAATACTGTATATTGTTGATAGGTACTTAAATACTAATTAGTTTTTGTCAACAATAATCGTGATAATGAACATTGGCCTATGATAACTTCAACGACCGTAATTTTAGGTTACAATCAAGATAGTCAAGGGTAACTAATGGTATGGCTATTAATTCCAATCTCGCTAAATAAAAGTTTCAAGGAAAATTATATTTAGGTATTAATTTCTTGTTTTCGTTCAATGTTATTACAATGTTTATTGCTGATTGATACGTGTAGGCCTACAACCATAACAACTCGCAAATCTATTAATAAAAAAATACAAATATTTCACAACATATTATTTACTTACATTTTCAAAAGAAACATTTACATAAAATATTCCAAATAAGAATTAAGAGTATATAGAATATATAATATTCAAATTAACGGCACTCGATTGTCAACATTACACTAGTAAAATCAGAAAAAAGGGGGTCCATTCAAATTAACGGCACTCGATTGTCAACATTACACTAGCAAAATCAGGAAAAGGGGGTCCATTCCCAAAGCGCCTGTGATTATAGCTGATGGATAGATGTAGGCCTCTACCTCGCAGATCTATTTGATAAAAAATTACAAATATTTCACAACATATTATTCACTTACATTTCCAAAAGAAACATTTACATAAAATATTCCAAATAAGAATAAAGAGTACATAGAATATATAATATTCCAATTAAGTACACTTGATTGTCAACCAGACACTACAATTACAATACGACATGTATATCAAATCATCCCAATAAAACAGCTTTTGTTGAACGGTCAATGCGAAGTTCCATGTCAATTTTCTTCCGGCTACAAAACATAGCGGCAGCGAGTTGTTTTAGCCTACGACATACTTTCCTAAATGTAGAATCCCCAATGTAATACACAATAACGTTCACAACATTGTTTATAAAGTACGATCTGAACAAAATTGGTAATATCCCAAGAACTATAGGACTAGGTGGCATCACATTGCCTCGCTTTATGGTCCTAATAGCATTAAGTGTCAAGTACGGTATGTAACTTACAATATATGCGAGAGTTAAACACAAGAATATTTTTGTTACAGTATGTTTTTTTCGTTTCAATCCATTCTCTAGCTTCATAAGGCGATTCATCCTGAAGTGGTCACGCAATTCCCATATAATTTTCCCATACAAGAATATCAAGACGCAAAAAACTATCGCAAAAGTGACAAGTAAGACAGTAGCTTGGACAAATGGATAATTTGTCGGTCTGAAATCGTCATCAGTTGAACATCCATATCCTGTAATATTTCCGGGAAAGTGTTCGACTGTTTGACCTTGGATAAAAGCTGTAGGCCATGAAAGAAGAACAGATACTGATATTGCCACAACACACATTATCTTTGCTGTTTTAAGAGACATGTCCTCACTAAAAGGAAAACAGATCTTCCTATACCTCCCAACTGCCATTACAGTCAACACAAAAGCTGATCCTAGCTTAGAGATGTCTCCTATAAACCTTGAAAACTTGCAAAAGCCTTCACTATAAAACATGTGAGGGTAAGCATTATCTACGATCTCGGACGGCATAGAAATACAGCAAGCAGTTAAATCTAAAACTGCTAAACATAAAACATAACATCTCAAATTAGAAGGTTTATACTTAAATCCATAAATAAAAAGAACCAAACTGTTGCCGATAACGCCAAATGTAACAAGAAAAGCTAAGTAAATAATGGTCGGTAGTCGCTGCTTTGCCTCTGCATCATTTATGTCTTTCAATGAATGAAAAAGGATGATTTCCTCTGAATGATTCGTGGAAATCATTTTCTCAACTAAAGTGTCGATACTGGTCTGGCAAATTTATACGTGTATATCAGTTTGTACTTTAGGTTCACTGAACCAGTAACCTCAAGGTCGGAATCCTCAGTTATGACAAGCACTTCATTGTACACATGGAAAATGTCATTAAATGCGTATAGAAATCCTGTTTATTATATTTGAAAGTTTACTAAACGATCGGCAAATAAAAACAAAGAATAATTAATTCCTTTACCGTGTAAACATTTCTTCTGCTCTTTGTTTGATCCAGTTTACAATCACTGGTTTAACGTGAAATCGATATGCTAAAAAATCCTTGAACTCTGTGTAACACTTTAACTTTATCATGTGTCACCTTGCACAGATGCGTATGTTTTAACGGGTATAAATCTGAAGAAGGTGGATGAATCAAGTACAAGGTCAAGATCTTTATTATAAATATGTGTGTTGAAATAGCTTAATGTTTTTCAGTTGGTGTTTAATTGTCCGTGAGCAAACATTAAACCATACGACATTCTTTTATATATATCTTTTACCCGCAGGGTTTTTCCATCGTTTTTTTTAATTATATATATGCATAATAATGTCCTCATATCACAGATCATTATTAAAAATTGCTACTGTCGTGTTACATCAACTTCCAGTAGTCGACTTGATTTGAAAAGGTCTGCGATAATTGTAGGTGATTTTGAATAAAAAGATCAATAAGGTATGGCAAAAACATGTACCCCCTCCTATGATTGTCTATGGATATGTAATAAACAATTTCAGTAGCATAGCCACTCGAAAATTAGTTGTTGGCAGGGGGTCTGGAGGGCGGCAGCCCCTTAGCTCACCGATTATCGTAAAATTCTTATTGAAATAAAAAACAAAATTGCTAAAATTATTTGTAAGCATATGCTAACAATGCTACGCTGCAGCTACGCCACTGAATTTAGTGCAAACAAAAATACTTCGTATTAATCCTCACAGGACCCATTATAGACATATAATATTACAAACAGTACCCAACGACAGGTCAACATACGGTCGGTCTTTAACGATTTTAAAGCCATATGCAAATCATTTTCCATTAAACTTGGGTGGTTTGAACTATCGTATAATACTATTTTATTTATTTCCGTAATGCATTGATCATTCAGTATTGCAATGAATCAAATGAGGCACCCCTCTCTGTTCAACTAGTTAATGAATGTGTGATATATGATATATAATAAATAGTTTCGAGCCTTCGCAGATTCTTGCCCTTTCGGTTAAGATTAAAGTCTATACCTAATCTGAAAAAATGTTGGGATTAACAAAAGGTACGTAAAAATGGTATAATAAAAATTAGCGCATGAAAACTGATCGAGACTAGTACATTTATGTATTGGCCCAGATGAAAAGCACTCAAGTCTATAAAAGAGAAAAAAAAAAAAAAACCACATGCACAACATGTACAAGCAAAAAACAAAAATTTATCCAGGACAGAAAGTTGATGGTTTCAGCCTGTAGATCTTTAATAATTGTTGATCATATTTAGCTGTTTACAGTTTCTGTCTACCAAATAAAGTCTTCAAAATACTATGCAAAAGCGTCTAAAAATTATCATAAATTCCTGAATTAATTACTTCATTTGTGTTTTTAGATCTTGTATTGCTGATCACTTCTGCTTTAAACAATTTGTAACTTTATAATAGTTTTTAAGAGAATGTCTTAAATTGGCGAACAATATGCATTTATAAGTAGTCTAACCATTTTGGAAGGAACTTGGCAGGTAGAAGATGGATTTTTGACATTCTCAGCATTTTTTACCTCTGTAAATATTTAACTACGATTGTTTTCAAGATAAAAGAAAATTACTTGAATTTTTTACGTCTATGTGCTATTTTTAGCTATAGCGGCCATATTGATTCGTGTATTGATCCATCGAGTATAACTCTTAAAGTAAATTCCACGAGGATGCCAAAGACTAAGATTGATTCCAAATGGTTTCAGAGAAGATTTAAAAACAGAGTCAACAGAACGACGGTCCTCAAACTGCTCATTTGGGCCATGAGAGCTAAAAAGTGCGGAAACTATTATTTTCTAGGAAGTGCCGATGTCCATTAGGGGAACTACTTCGACAAACTTCGCCCGAACGGAATGAAATTCAAAATTTATTGCACAATATCTAATCAATGGATTTTAGCATTACAGAAACTAGAGGCTCTAAAGAGCCTGTGTCGTTCACCTGCATCTTCAGTAAAAAAAAATAGCCTTAAAGGTAAATAACTCTAGCGTTAACTGACAAATTCAGTCATATTGACGTATTGGCAGATCTTATCCTACTGATCACTTTTCCTTTTGTAAGATTCTATTTGTTCATTATAGTTTTCAAGATAATAGGCAAAAATGCAAAAATTGGGAAAAATCGTCATTAAAAGGCAATAACTTCATCAAGGAGTCGATGAACGATTTCGATCATGTTGACTTATTTGTAGATCGTGTCTTGTTGATAATTTTTGTTATTAAAGTTTCTATCTATCAATCATTATCATTCGAGATAATAGGCGAAAAATTAATGGTAAAAATCACCATTAAAAGGCCATTACTCCTATAAGTTTTAGTCTAACAGTTTTGTTGTCAACAGATATTAAGTAGATCTCATCAGTCTGCACATTTTTGACCCCTCCTGTCAGATTTTCTCTATCTAGAGCGTTTTTCAAGATACGTTGTAATAGACAAAAATTGCATGTTACCACCTATGTTCTATTTTAGCCATATCGGCCATGTTTGTCGGTAGGCGAGGTCATTGGTCACATTTTTAACAAGATACCCCAATGGTGATTGTGGCCAAGTTTTGTTAAATTTGACCCAGTAGTTTCAGATGAAATGATTTTTGTAAAAGTTAACAGACGACGACCTTCGTGCAAGATGAGCTAAAAAGTACTGAATACTAAAATGTGATGACAAGCGGAAAGCACGCCCAAAGTCCTCCTCGGGACTAACAAATGGGGCTCAACTTGAGACTTAATGTACACATACAGCAATTGCAACCTAACGTTAAGCAATCAATAATCAATCAATCAACCCGAGACAAACCCATAAACACCACGGAAATAGTGTCATAATTCGCCAGGAGAATCCTCGAAAGAATACAAATTTAAAGTTTTACTACGCAACAATAATGTTTCATTTTTTAAAGATATCTATTTGATTATTTACATATTTCAAATACATGTACATGCATGTTACGATACTTTTAATATGTTATGATTGAATGTTGTTTGCCTTACGTCCAGTGGCAAATATTTCATGTATATTCAGAATATAGTAAGAATAGTTCTAATAGTCAGACAGAGGGATTCACAGAGGTAAATATGGGGCAATAAGGAGTGTCACTTGAAAACTAACGGAATATTGGATAGGGCTGGCATCTTTCTTTGTAATGCGACACCCACGGACCCTCAAAGGTTTGTTGTTTTTTAACCTGCAGTGAGCGTACTTGACACTTTCCCTACAAGGACAACGTTTTGAACGTCACCGTGGCTGCGGATTTGTGCGAAAAGGAAAAAGTCATAAAATTGACAGGACAAAAAGGTCACAATTAGATTAAAACTTTTTTTATATACTTGAGAACGTTCTTGAAATAATTTCATTTTAAAAGATAAATCCATTCGGTACAGTTTAGGACAGTTTAGGTTCGTTTATCTTGATAAATGAAAATTTATCAAATCTTATCATTTATTCATACAAATGATATATCTGGCTTGGCACCATGGAGCCAGTCAAATATCAGGCCACTTTAACAACTTGTTCACAACAATTATCTTAGGCAGTGGCTATTTTGCCGGTCTTATTTCAGATTTTTATCAGACAAATTTTTTTATTGAAATCATTGACGTTCGAAAATGGAAGACGACACTTCGTTGTCCAAAAAACTTGAACTAAATGTTATGTTCGACTCAAATGAAGATTTAAAGCAGATTTTGGAGCACTTTGAAAAGGACAAATATGTTTAACTTTGGAAACGTGATTCAATGACAATAAAATCTATGAAAACTAGAGCTTCAAACAAAACCTTTAATAACTATCTAGGCTATGGTGCAATAAAGTACTGTTGTGTTCATGGCGCCGTAAAGACTACAAACCTTCATCCACTGCTTAATCAAGTTGTTTCATCATAACATGTACATGTATCTTCGTTTTTATCTTGCAACTATAATAATTTACGGACACATGGCGGCACGCATTTTAGATGACAAGCAGCACAGAAACTCACATTGTCAATACTTGCGAAATTGTCCGTCATTCAACATCTTTCAATCGATTTAAACCAAACTTGGTATACACTTTGCACTAACAAATGCGTTCTAATGTAGTGCATAATATTATAAACCTAAAATAACAATTAAAACACAATTGTGTTTATATCGCTCAACAGCAAATCATAAACAAACTATTCTAAGAACCCTATCCAACAAGTTTTATGTGCAGTTCATGTCTGCACTGGCAGCATCTTTTTTGTGCAAGACTAAATAATGCACTAAAACAAGGCACTGATTGTGTTACACTTGTAAATAATTTTGAAGTTATTGAACTTCACTTTTAATTTCAAAACTTATGGGATATTTTCATAATTTTTAATTAGAATATCAATTTTAATATGCATGCTTTGCTTATGTATTATATTTTTTTTTAAAAGACATAGTTCGTTTTGTATGTAAAGTAACTTTTAATTTCAAACTTTATGGGATATTTTTTATTAGAATATAAATTTTAATATGCATGCTTTGCTTATGTATACGTTTTTTTTAAAGAAGACATAATTTTTCAGAGATTTCATATTAACACGTGTTTCTACATTTCTTTCTATTCGTAATTAGTATATTGAAAAAATCTGAATAATGACCGGCAAAATAGCCTCCTGAGCGCTTTTTTGCCGGCTCCGGCAAAATACAGATTTTTATTTTGCTATTTTGCCGGAGCTGGTAAAATAGCACCTCAGATGCTATCTTACTGGAGCTGTCATAAAAGCCACCGCCATTATGCATTACTTATCTTTTTTTAATACATTTTGTTTGCAATTTTGTTCAATTTGTTGTAGTTCAAGAAAGATACAAAAAATATTTGATCAGCATAAAAAGATAAATCCATCTTGAAAATTGTAGAAAATACTCGTTTTGGAGTTATTGCCCCTGAAATGTCGATTTTTTTTCTCTCCATTTTTTTGCAGGGGGTGGCTGTTAACGTGAAATCTATAGGAGCTAGGTTACAAGAGTAAATTGCACAAACGATCAGCACAAGATTTATCAACCCTAGAAATTTTTGAAAAATCTGTCGACCAGTTTGAGAGTACAGGACATATACATTTTTTTCTTCAATTATAAGTATTTTTCAACTGATATTTTGAAAACTATAGAAGCTAGGTTAAAAGTGTAAACTGCAAAAATGATCAGCATGGCACGATCTATCTATTCTGATATTTTGGAAGTTATTGCTCCTGAAATGTTGATTTGTTGTTTGCAGTTGTGGCTGTTATCCAATGAAAGCGTGATTGTGCTATAAAGGCAGTTACCAACAGGTTTTGTGATTTTATAGTCCAGATTGATTATAATCAAACATATTACTTTTCAAGAAAGACTAATATATCAGATATTAGACATTTTTCAATTATTATGGCATGGAAATGGTAATGCTACATTGCATTTTCAAAGACTTTTTCGAGAAATTTGTTTTTTTATTTATACTCAAAAAATTGCAATTGAATAATTAGGGTCAATTTTGATATACAGTATTTACACATCTTGAGTTTAAAAAAACCTATTCCAGTTCATCATGATGGCTTGGTGTGAATTTATCTCAAAAACATTGAGTTATATAATGCATCTCGAAGTGTCCACTCTTTCCAAGAAAATCATTATTCTTAAAAAAAATAACTCTGAGCAAAAAAGTTAATAATTTGGTCTCTGGTGGAGAGTTGTCTCACAACTGTGAACATATATTTGTTCCACATAATAAATGTTCACCCTGGAACAAAACTATGGATAATAAAAGTTCTTGGGAACAAACATTACATAATATTATTTCCACCTTCACAAGATATTTTCCTGAAACTAAAACATCGTATGGTTTCATAATATTTGTTCCTTTAAAGAACCACTGGACGTCAGTAAGCAACCAACTATCAATCAATCCTTTAAAGAAAGCGTGTCATGTGATTTTTTACACCTGATTGCATCTTAATTACTGCTCACCTCATCTGTGTATGACATTTACCTGAACATATAGTTCTCATGATAGAAATCAGTATATTTGTGATAAGGAACTTTTGTTAAACAAAAGTTCCAACTCGAAGTTTCATACTGGTGGAAAATGTCAAAACATTGTCCATATAAATATTTATTCCAAAGAACTTTTAGCATATAATAAAATTCCATTGGGAACTTTCCTCATGTTGAGGGGGAAATTTTCTTATAGCATTGGATTAAATATTATATAAGGAAAGTTCCCAATGGATCTTTTGTTATATGTTCAAAGTTCTTTGGAACAAAAAATATGGGGGAACTTATATTCTGTCACATCTCATTGGAAATCATACCAAATCTTCTTATTTTTATACAATAGGAAAAAATTGACTTTTTAGAGCAATAACTCCTGCATAGGTTAATTTATGATTTCAAACTTTTGACTTTTTTGTAGATCTTATTATAGTTTTTCTTTATAAGATTAAGATAAATTAATTTATTTCCAACAGAGGACCCATTTTGGGCAGATTCAGTACAATGATTATTATATTAAACAATTACAATATAGGCAATACAAAAGAAAAACAGCTCAAACATGAAATATAATACCTCTTAATTATCTATATAATATAGTTTCTACAAAAAAGACAAAAATGGGTAAAAATTTTAAGTGCATAAACTCCTAAAAGGTGTCATTTGATGATTTTGACCATGCTGATTTGTGTAGATATTATTTTGCTGAACTTTTATACTGTAAAGGGATTCTCTCTATCTGGTTGAGTTTCATCAAATAATACACACATGGGATTGAATTCATCTTTTAGGGCAATAACTCCTATAAAGTTATAAATCATCTTTATTCAGATGGAAGACTGGAAAACTTACAGAAGAAATAAACTGTTAACACAGAGATATGTCTCGCCTATTTGTTATTTTGATAATGCAAATGTTGAAATTAAAATAGCAATACTTTAACATGTAAGTTATGCAAATATTCAAGGTCAATGAACCATGACTGAAGGTACAGGGCTAAACAATCTCCATGGAAATGAGATGTGCCAATGCTAATACAACTGCAAACCAAATACCATTGACTTTTCATAAGTCGTTCCCTTTAAACAAACCTAAACACAAACACTAACTTGTAAACTATGTAAAAGTTTCAAAGTCAATGAACCATAATTAGGGGGTGGGGTTATATAATCTCCATGGAAATGAAACTTGCAAATGCCAATACATTTGCATACCGAATATCATTGACTTAACATTAGTGGTTCATCTTAAACTGACCTAATCACAAACTAATACGTGTAAACTAAGTAAAAGTTTCCAAAGTCAATAGACCATGACTGAGGGGTAAGGACCAAATATTCTCCATGGAAATGAGATGTGCTAATGCTTATACAACTGCATACCAATTATCATTGACCTACCACTAACAGTTCCCCTTAAACTGACCTAATCACAAACTAATACATGAAAACTAAGCAAAAGTTTCAAAGTCAATAGACCATGAATGAGGGGGCGGGGCCAAATAATCTCCATGGAAATGACATATGCCAATGCTTATACAACTGCATACCAAATATCATTGACCTACCACTAGTGGTTTCCCATAAACTGACCTAATCACAAACTAATACATAAAAACTAAGCAAAGTTTCAAAGTCAATAGACCTTGACTGAGGTGGCGGGGCCAAATAATCTCCATGGTAATGAGATGTGCCAATGCTAATACAACTGCATATCAAATATCATTGACCTACCACTAGTGGTTCCCCATAAACTGACCTAATCACAAACTAATGCATGTAAACTAAGCAAAGTTTCAAAGTCAATAGACCTTGACTGAGGGGGTGGGGCCAAACAATCTCCATGGTAATGAGATGTGCCAATGCTAATACAACTGCAGACCAAATATCACTGACCTACCACTAGTGGTTCACCATGAACTAGACCTAATCACAAACTAATACATTGTTAACGCCGCCGCCGACGCTGGAAACAGCATACCTATGTCTCGCTTTTGGACTCCGTCAAGGCGAGACAAAAAAGGGGCAATCGACCATATTGGCCTTGTCGACTTATTTGTAGATCTTTTTGTTCTGTTCATTTTTGGAATAAGTTATAATTGGTCAATCTAAAACCAACTAACTATAGATTATGTTAAAGGTTGTATTTTTAAAAAGGAAACAAATATTTGAATGACATTTTGAGAGTAATAAAAAAATCTATCTGTTGAGGCAATCCAACTTGATTGAAAAATTTCATATTCAATTATAATCAGTTATACATTTATACCCCAAAAGGTTTAGAGCCCACTTTAGATGGTTGCAGTATATTATGTTTTGTTGCATATTCAGTGAACTTTAAAGTATTACTTTTCATTTCTAATGCTTAAGAATTGAGAATGTCATTCAAGTTCCTGTTGGCTTTTTCAATACACAACCAAAAGTTGGTTGGTTTTGGCTTAACCAATTTTAACTGACCATCCTTTGCAGTTTTTTTATTGATTGAACAACACCTATACAGGTAAAAATACAGGGATTTAGAATGGGGGTATTATTTTGTTAATTATAAATAAAAGAAATTTTTTCCTGTAATGTTTTGGTTGGTAATTTTTTAATAAGTTCTCTTGGGAGTTATAATTAATTGTGCATAACAATTGTGATAGTTTATTAAAAACATAAATTTATGAAGGTTCCTTTTCCATGTAGTGTTAATAATAGAACAGAGTTACAATGTCCCCTACATTGCACATATTTTATCTATCCAAGGTACAAGTGCAATAACTAAAAAAAACGCTTTTTTTGTTGTTCTTTAAAACTTTTTATAAAATATCTTAGAGAAATGAAAGCTTCAGAGCAAATGCAATGTGATTTCCGTTAAAATTAATATTTCCAAGGGGCATAACTCGTTAAAAATATTTGATCAGCACTTATTTTCAAGTGTAAAAAGACATTACTGATATAAACCTATGATATACATAAGTTTCATAAAATTCTGGCAAGAATTGTACACATGAGAGCGCTGACAATGCAATTTTCGATAAAAATCAATATTTCCAAGGGGAATAACTCTTTGTAAAATAATTGTTGCCCTGATTTTCGAATTTGTCATAGACATTGATCATATAAACCTATAATATAAATTTCATAAAAATCTGGCAAGAATCGTACATATGAGAGCACTAACAATGCAACTTTCCATATAAACAATATTTCCAAGGTGCATAACTCTATTAAAAATAATTGATCGGCACTGATTTTCGAACTCCTCAAAGACATTGCTGATATAAACCTATGATGTAAGTTTCATAAAAATCTGGCAAGAATTGTACACCTGAGAGCGCTAACGATGCAATTTTCCATATAATTAATGTTTCCAAGGGACATAACTCTTTTAAAAATAATTGATCGGCACTGATTTTCAAACTCGTCCTAGACAATGCTGATATAAACCTATGATATAAATTTCATAAAAATCTGGCAAGAATTGTTCACGTAAGAGAGCTATCAAGACTGGACGGACGTTATTTCAAATGCCAATAACCAGCACTTACCTAACCAGACACAAATATAAATGAATCAATTCTGGTTGTTTTTTGTCAGGAAGTTTTTTCTTAATATGCTATAATTCATTAAAAACATTGTCTTTAAGGACAATAATTAACTACTTTATAGAGTTTTTATAAATTTGGTGGAAAATGAGAGTTTATATTGATCTGACCATGGAAGTATTATATTGATATAATACTTCCATGATCTGACAGAGGTGAAGTGATATCAAAATCTCAGGCTATTGATGTTATAACTTAAGTTATCTAATCATTCCTTAAATAAATAACTGCATGAAAGTTAATGCAATTAGCATTTCACTTCTAATTTTAATGGAATAATTGTTAAATTAAGCACCATGCTGTGACAATAGGACATGGGTCTTTTTGAAGGAAAATCACACTCTTGTTATTAAAATAATGATGATTGGAACTTTATTATTATAAAAATATAATGAATGTATCACATAAAAATGACTATGAGTTTGATATAAAATTTTCATATTTCTTTTGACTCATTAATTAATTCTGGTTTGGATCAAATTTTAACCACAGCTTCTCAAATTCTGATATAAATGGCAAAACAATATCCTCATTGTTAGTGATGAGTATGTTTTCCTGGTTCCCTGTTATGGCCTTCTGTGTCCAGTTGAAGGAACCATTCATGAGGTGCTCTTGATCAATTATAGCAAACTTGTGATGCATAAAGAAAGAGGAGTTGTCTATCCTGACTGGAATACCTGAAAAGGGACATATGATCACAATAAAAATACTTATGAAAAACATTTATGTTTGATCTTTAAATATGTGACAGTGATTAATGTTGATAGAGAAAGTGCTAAATAAAAACTGCCAGTCTGTTTGTCTAGAGCCTGTAAATCTTGTCTAGAGCCAGTGAAACTAAGCAAAATTGGTACAATTTTAAAATAGGTATTTTCCTTATTTCATGAACTGTAGCTATACCCAATGGGCTGATTAAAATTAAAACTTATTCTTATTATCTGTAGAAAAGATAAAAAATTATGATGTGTCCAGTTTCAAGCATATAATTATTTAAATCCAGTTCTAGAAGTGCTAGAATAAATGTTTTTATTGTTCATGTTAATAGCACATTTATAATAACGATTTCAAAGATGTAAGCAATAACTCCCATTTTATCCCTATGTTCTATTTTTAGCATAGGTGGCATGTTGGTTTTCAGGCAAAATCATTAGACAAAAATTTAAACAAGTCTGGTTCAAATAGGACTGTTCAAGGATAACGGACAACAAGCACTGACAAGTGATGGCAATAACTCGTACTGTCCCTTTAATTAAACATCTCTACTTACAATACAATACAATATTTTTATTATCAAGGACGCCCTAAGAGAGCAGTATAATTACAAATAATTTATTACAATGATTATTATTAATTCTTAATGATATATAATGACAAAATATAGAATAGATAAAAAAATAAACACAAAAGAAAAAGCAAAACCCCAGATATGTATATATATTTAACATATAGAAATGTTGAGGCATATATTCAACTGTTTATGGATGTCCAACTCATTGATGATTTATATTTTTAATTTTATGACATTATGTTTTATTCTCCAAATTTGTATTCCTGTTATTAGATTCTTACATTACAACATAAAGGTATCAACAGAACATTATTTATCCTGTAAATTGTGTTGCACTGACTATCCTCAAAGTTCTGCCTTTTGGAAATTCTAAATAAATACCTGCCTTCATGGTCTATTCTTAAATTCTTAAACCATATCCTAGGGAAACATGACAAATTTTGAATTGTTGCCTTAAAGCCTAAAATTTGTACATTGCTGTGACAAATTCAGAAGTTGACAAAACCGTTGGACCATGACAAAAAAACAAGATGATGAAATGATAATCAAGTTAACAAAACACATAGAAAACTAAAACCTGAGCAACAGTGAGCACAAACCCCATAAAAAATTGGGGTGATATCAGTTGCTTCAGAAGGGTAAGCAGATCCTGCTCCTCTAGTAGCATTCATCCTGTTGCTCATGGTTAGTACAAATTCAGTGAGGAGTCTCAATTGGTTGTTGTCATAATCAGAGGGAAAGAGGAGGGGACTGTGGTAACCAGTTTGAACATATCTGTGACAAAGATTTTCCATAAAGGTCAACCAACTTTTCGAAAGGATGACTCTAACTTTACCACTTGGAACCCTTGGTTCAAGAGCTTCCTTGTAAGCAGCTTCTAACAAGGGAATCATTAATGGTAACACAAGATTTGGAATAATATATTAACTGAAAGATATATAATAATGTAAAGTTATGAGGTAGACTTCCAACTGTTGGAAATAATCATCTTGTATCTCATTGGTCTAAAAACTACTACTAGGGGGGTCTTTAACAACCTTGACTATTGTTAATCTCACAAGGCAAAATATTCACCAATAAAAGTATTGTATTGTAGACAATGTATTACCTGCTTTTCTCAACTTCCAAATCTGAGATCCAGGCACATCTACTTGTTCATTATCTGTAACGACTCGGACCACAACACCTTTTTTATGTGACTTGATTAGTAACTCAGCAAGATCACTACATGTTATCACAAATACACATATATCGATTGATGTTCTAGCAGACATTAAATACGTAAAAAGTTTGCTTAATGAATTTTCTTCGTGAGAAAAACGACAGTTTGAATTTCTACAACCATAATCATCTGTAAAGTATGATTTACATGCCACTGTTTCATCAGGGAAAAATAAAACTTCTGTCTTTGGAAACTTTCTTCTCTTCCCCTTGTTCTTTATGTTAACTCGTTTGTAAATTTGGTAAATGATTTCTGATGCTATGCCAAATGACAAAATCAAAACTCCAGATCTCAAAATGAAAGTAGACATTCCCCGCGGTTTTTCGATCCTCTCTAATTTTATTAAAAATCTAAGAGAGATTCTGTCCGTTCGGAAGTTTATTTTCATTTTCGAAAGGTTCCTGTTGACGAATATGAACCCGTTGGCAGATTGAGATTGTCTTTAGTCAACATATACTCAAAGCCTCATTATTTTGAACAAAACCGTTATGGATAAAGCTGATGATGTTACCCTCAACTTTGGGGAAGAGGACGAACTAGATAGAAGACAAAAATTCAAGTATATTTGTGTAGAACATTTATCCAAAAATAGAAGTATAAAGAGGCATAATTTTTTCAATCCACATCAGGATTAAAAAAAATATGACATTTTGAAAGGTTTTTTAATTATAAGTTTACAAACAGTATTTTTCGATTTGGATATTTGAAAGACCCATCATTGATGCATACGTGTACGACTTTCGAATTGGTGCACTTTCCCCGTAAATTTCCGTAAAAACTCGAGATTGGTGTATAGCCTTCCCAAACTCCACAATTATTTAGACTGTATTTATGATAAGCATACGATAAACAGGGTTGGGGACAATCAGTCAAATGGAGTAAAATATCCCATTTTGGATTATTTACTTACAGCAGGAACATATATATTGACGGGACTTGACACTACCTGATTGTAGTGGATTATATCGTCGTGCCATAGTTAATAAAGATACGATACAGAAACGGATATGTGTAAAAAACGGACTCGCTATTATCCTAATAATTTCTGATATTATCAATAAAATGTCATTCAAACTAGTTTTATAGTGATGCTAGTGTATCAAACTTGTATTCTGTCACTTCAAATTTGTTAAAATCGCAAGCATTTTATCACAGAATTGTGCAGAATGCAAACCAGGTAATAAAAAAATGGCGGCCATTGCCGCGATGATTTACAAATTCCCAAACTATTATAAAACACTTCACATCAAATAAATCAAACTTATTTTGGTAATTTTATATGACAAAATATATCTACTAAATGATAAAACTTGTATTTATTTACAATTAGAGTTATGTGGTTTATTTGTTGAGCAGTTCTGATAGTTTTTCAGTCAGACGCTACCAAAATCCGTAAATCTCGGGGAGTCCGAGATTTTATCAATTTTATACTGAAAAGCGTATCAGATTCATTTCCCGTTAGATATACTGTTCCCAGCTTACAGCTGCGGATGACATCGGCGTGTAGGGCAGCAACAAAGATCTCCATTTATGTCAGTTGTTGGCAGTTTTATGTAGAGTACCCCATCTTTTACCTTCTGGGGTTCAGTGGCGTGCTGTCTTAGTAATATGAGGCAGGCGTTACCTGTGAAAGGGGACGAAGTCTGTATGAATTATTTTTTTTTAATTCAAACATATCATGTTTTTACTTCAAAATCTGTTCAAAAAGAACGGAAATACCCTTACGTTTCCGATTTCGGTTCTGTTGTTCGGAATTTTAGTTGTGACGTTATTTATATTATGACGTCATATTCAATGTAAACAAAGAAACGCGATCAGGTAACGTTTTTTCATATCAAGTCATTCAAGGAATTATTAAAAATGGAATTGGTATTGCGTTCCTTCCTATATTTTACTAGACTGATAAATATATATATTACTCAAAGACTCATGCAAACGAGACCGGAAAAAGGAAGTAGATTTCTGCGCAAATGCGGGAAAATAAAAAAGTCTGAAAATAAAAAAGTTAACGATTTTGAGTTCATTAGTACAATGAAAATTTCGGGAAATTTTCCCGATTTTTTTTTTTTTTTTTTTTTTTTTATTATTGATTTTTCTACCGTAATAGGGGACTTCGTCCCCTTAATATCCTCTTCCTCTTTCTGTAGGACATTACCAATCCACCTCCAGCATCTTCTCATTGTAGTAGTGGCTATATCTTCTTGTAGGTATCTGGTGAGAAGGTTCTGGTTTGAAAATTTTTGTTGTCAAAAGATTTGCAATACATGTACATGTATCCTTCTGAGGCTTTTGATTTGGAAGACCGCTCTGAGTTTGTTTTAGACATTTGGGATATAATACTAATGGGATATAAATTCCTCTGCCAATAAAAGGTTTTTTATTCTAGGGAAAATATTTTAAAGAGCAACAACTTTTGGCTGAATGTACACACATGTACACATGTAGCAATTTCTTTATAAGTGGTTGTTTATGAGTGTATCCCTTGGAAGATACTGCTTTTCAGAGGTTATAGTTGCTAACTAGCTGCAACTATTGACCTAAACAAATGGACTTTTCATTCTTTTTGTTAAATTCAAAATTTTAAGATTTTTTTGGACTGAAAATGTGTATCACATTTGGGCTGGAATGAAGTAAATGGAGGCATTAGATGGTTATGTTATTGTATCATTATTAGTGTGGTATAAGTGCCCTATTTGTATATGTAGTATTATGTCTTCACCAAGAAGGCTACTTGGCATTAATCTTTGGTATTGGTCAAGTTTGGTATTAGGTTGATCCGTTCACATCTCTTTTTGGCCTTTAGCATTGGAATATTACAATTTTATTAACAAAAAAAGTTAGAAAATTTAACAATATCTAATAAAAGTAGTTGGAAATCAGGTAATATCTGATGTAGTACAAATGTAGTATTTCACCAAAACTGGTTGTGGTATATTTTCATTGTTTGCAATCTAACTGTCAGAGCATGTATCAAATTGAACAAAAGTCTGAATTTTATAAAAAATCAAATGACATTTCAATAGTTTTACTAATACTACTACTGGTATATTTGAATTGTTATAGGATACAGAAGATTACTTTGTATATACATGTATCTGTATATTAGGCAAAGTACATGTAGCATTCACCTGAATAATCCAGTGGTTAAAATCCATTCACTATGATCATTGTATAGAGTCCAGTAAAAGGCTCGGATCAGAATAATTTGAGTTAACACATGGTTAATATACTATGGACTCATCAGAATCGGCTGGATCTCACCAATTCATAAAAGGAAAAGTCCCATGATTCTAACTCTAAAAATACCTTTGTGAGAACACTGGTATATGGTAGCGTATTTGATTTTTAAAAATATGTTTTTGTCTCATGTTGAAATGTTCAGTTTCAGCATTTCCTATTTCACCTTGCATGTACAGATCTAGAATTGACTCTTGGTGCCAAAAATGAAGGGCATATATACATATAAATTTAAAATACCTGCATACCTCACATCTCCCTTTATTTTTTAATATTTCTGGTTTTCATTTTCAGACATCCATTAGCAGTATTCTTTCATTTGTTCTTCCGATCAGCAGCCATTGTTTTATATTTTATGTGTGACTTCTTCATCGACAGTTTTGTGACCAGTTTTGTTATGATTGTAATTATGCTATCAATGGACTTTTGGACCGTTAAAAATGTTACAGGTAACTATTGAGTAATCATATAATTACATAGAATACATATACTGTAGTTAAGGTTGAAAAGAATGATTCTTGAAGGATGATCTACATATATAAATTTCACAAACATATGTAGGTAACAAGTACAAATGTAATTTCCTTATAAAAATTGGAAAAATCACAGCAGTTTTTAAAATAAAAGTTAAATGTAGTGAAAATAGTAAGTTGTGTAAATAATCTTATTTTGCATGGAAAATAGACTATTACAACTTTGCAAAAGTGCAAATTTAGTTTAAAAAAAAAATGTGGATAAAAACTGCTTTTATTACACCTACTGCTTTGTCAGTTTTTCCACTTACCTACCTTATTACACCTACTCTGTGTCAGACATGGGCAAATACAAGTTTGTTTCTTGAAATATCAGAAAAGTTGCCCAAAAATATAAGAGTTTTCCATAAAACCTATTAATACTTTTAAGGACATTTATTTGAACATTACCTTCAAAATGTTGGATAATACTAGTACTAGTCATTCATAAGTAACATTACAAAACTAGCATGGGTATCCCAAAATGTTTTTTAGATTCAGACGAATCAGGGTGCAAAATGGAAGAAATTTTAAGGGCTTTTTTTTTATTAAACTTGACAATGATAAGAAAAAACTTGTCAAATTTTTGACATTTTTCAAAAGTTCATGGAACATAAAATGCAGGTATAGTTAAATTTTGCTGATTCGACATGTATTTGCCATTTAGGAGTAATGCTTTTTCCCAATTGAACTGAAAGCAAGGGTATCTGTGGTCTAGGTTCCCCGTTTTTAGTTCTGATAAATTACCTTATATTTGATGTTTTTCAGTCAGAATTATAGATGTTACACAGAACATTGTCTTCATTAAAATGATGAATCTTTTATGTCTTTCCAAGTTACAAATAATATGATTTATTGTTTAATTATGTTTATAAATAAAGTAATTGAAAACTTGACAACATATTTTATGGTATTATAGGCGAAACGTTGTTTATTTTAAATAAACATCTAAAGTACTGCAACATTTGCAAAATTATATGAATTTTCATCTAAGACTCTTTGGTTATTATTTAATCATTCAATGTAATTATTTTTTATAGTATTTAAGTTGAATAATAGAGGCTCCTTGAAGATTGTTGTTTTGCTTTTTGATCATTTTTATAGGAGTGTGACAAGTTATGTACCTTGGAAATGTAAATTCTATGGAAAATTCCATTGTTAGTGCTCTCAAGCAATGTCTTGGACAATTTGAAAAAAAATCAGTGGCAATTCACTATTTTTAAAGGAATTATGTCCCTTTGAATTGTAAATTTTATAGAAATTGCATAGAAAGGGCTCACATGCATACATTTCTTGTTGGATTTAAAAATAATTTATATCAAAGGTTAATATCAGCAAGGTCTTGGATAAGTTATATAATCAGTGCAGATAAACTATTTTTACAGGAGTTATATTCTTTGGAAAAAGAAAAATTATATGAAAAACTGTATTGTAATCTGTCTCATGCCTACATTTCTTGTAGGATATTTATGAAAAAGTTGAAGAATGAAAAAAAAACATTGGAGTAATTCCCATTGAACAGATATTGGCATAAATATTTTATAAATTTTCAGAAATATACGTCCTTGTAATT